ACGGACAGACGGACAGACGGACAGACAGACAGACGGACAGGGCCAAATCAACTCAGCTCGTCACCCTGATCAAGAATATATATACTTTGTGGGGTCTGCCACGCCTCCTTCTGCCTGTTACATACATTTCAACAAAACCATTATACCCTGATTTCCCATTTTCAATGGGTTCAGGGTATAAAAATAGACTCAGATTAATTTATTTACTAAAACGTAGAACCTAATCTATATAATCACATTTGATCGAATTTCTTCATTATCTCAATAACTGGCTCATTCAAATATTTGCGAACCTCCAGGTTGAGCGCAAAGTCCCCGTGATCCCACAACGGATCCTCCATATGGTGCAGCTCCATGTTTGGCAGTCGATCTGACAGGGCGAGAACATCCTCGACAGCGGCCATATCATCATTATCGGAATACCATAAGTGGACCTCAGAGCTTATGCTCTCAACTGGATAGTCGGGTGGCACCTCCGATTGGTATATTTCCAGATTTTTTTTAGGCCCGTAATCATACTGACGAAAATGTCCCGACTGCTGCTCCTGCAGATAGTGCAGCATTTGATTGGTGGAGCAGCCGGCCGGGTGCGTGGCCATGCCGTCCGGCATAGCAGTCTGTTCGATAAATATACATGGTAAGGATTTACTTAGAACTGTCATCTCCGATTTCTCTTACCATATTCACACGATTCCCAGCGTACAGCTTTTGCACAACATTTTCGCAAACGGGCCGCAATTTGTAATCGGGCTCGCACAGGTTGGAGAACAAACTCAACAGGAAATCGTTGCTCGGTATGAACTCTTGATCAGCAAAGAAGAGCGAGTACTCATTGCGGTGGCCCAGATAGGGTCCCACAGTGCGTACCAATTTATTCTCCATGTGCGTCATAATGGCAATGGGTGCAAACATGTGAGCTGTCTTGATCTTTGCATTGTATTCGGGTCGCATAGACATCAAAGTGAAGAAGACAGTTGTGCCCTGGGAGTGGCCCACATAGTGAATGGCCTTCTGTCCCTGCCCATTCGTCTTCAGGGCGTAATCGATCATAGCTGCAATATCAAAGTACCCGATCTCGTGCCAGCTGAAGCGCCAGAAGTACGGATGCTGAGGGGAGCGCGATGTGTGGTTCCTTGAATAGGTGTTACCACGCCCATTGCCCAGCCAGACATCAAAGCCGGCATCAGCGAGCAGGAAGGGCAGGCTATCATCGGGACCCTGGAGTATCCAAGCATCCGAGCAACTTGTCAGTCCATGTTGAACCAGTACAACGGGACGGATCTTGTCTTGGTTCTGCAGCTTGTGGGAATAGGGTATGCGAAAAACGCCCACAATGTAGCCATCCTCGGTGATAATGTGGTGGTGCTCCGCCGGATATCCATGTGCAGCTATACGGTCACGCTGAAAGATGCTCTTGCACTTGAAGATCAAACAAGGATAAACGAATTTCAGAGACTTACGGTTGTGCGTCGATCCTTCAGGCTTATATGGGCTTCCGGATTGTCATACAGCTTATAGAAGTCGATCTTGGGTGTCGCTGCACTTACAGCTGCGCAATTTATTGCAGCCACTAAACCGAGCAATGCGAAAGTTAACGAAAGTAAATAGTTCTGCATTGCTAAGGGTCTGAAATGCGACTGTGGCCAGCCAAACAGTCGAGTAGGTTTTTAATAGGAATTATCATCAAGTGGTCTCAGATTAAAGTGAAGACTCTCAAGAGTACAGAAAATAAACAAAAGTTAATTGCAATAAAATACTGATTAAATAAATTTACTCAAATTTCAAGTTACTTTTAATATTTCTGAATCTATTCATTCATGATCAACGTACAAAAATTATTTTATACGTAATATTATTAATAGCTGCCCTTTAAGTATTCCATTTATTGGCTAATAAAGTTGTAATTAAGTGGCTATTCCAGAAAATATAGGTATTATTCGTGGAAATAACATGCCTATCTAATTGACGTTGCTTAACTTATCATTAATCTCTATCATTAGCTTTCGCTTGGCTTGTATTAAAGCTACTAATTGTAGAACTGATTAAAAGCCCACACATGACGATTGTGCATTATAGAATTTTGTATAAGTCGAAATTAGAATAGAAAAATGCTCCATAGATATTATATAAATCAATATTAACTGTTAATTGATAATTAATGTATGATAAGTGCATGATCTCATACTCTTTACTTCTTACAATACCATAATCTTCTACTCTCAATTCGTATACTTTTAAGCTTTAACTATACTGTTTTATTCTTACATATTATACTGTTATGTCCGCTCTATTAAACTCATCAAATTAACTGCTGTTAGTTTACTCTAATAGTCTTACTTTAAAACTTTTATACACTAGTACCTCTACATTCTAATCCAATACTTTTATACACATACATATACTTTAAGCTCATGTTAATATGCCTGTAGACTCATGCTCTTATACACCCACAGTCATTTATGCCATGCATCCCTGATTTTCTTTAGATTTGCTCTGCATTCACTTCATCGGTTAATTAGAACAAATAATAATAATAAATAATACAAGAAAAATTAGAATTTAATTTTTAGAACTTTCAAATTTCTTCATAATCTCAATAAGTGGATCGTTAATAACTTTCCGAAGATCCATGTTCAAAGCAAAGTCGTCGTGATCCCACAATGGGTCATCCACAAGATGCAGCTCCCTATTGGGCAGGCGTCCAGCCAGAATATGAACATCCTTCACAGCAGCCATTATATCATTCTGTGCATACCATAGGTGGACTTTTGATGTAATTAGCTCGACTGGGTAGTCTGGTGGCTCCACTGATCCATACAATTCTTTATTCATTTCGCTACCATAATCGTACTGACAGAATCGCCCTGAACGATATTCTTGCATATAATGTATTATTTGATTGCTGGAACATCCCGCTGGCTGATGACCAATACCTTCTGTCATGGCAGTCTATTAATTGGAATCGTCTAAGAGATGTGCATTACGAAGGCTGACTTTTACTCACATTATTCCAGCGAGTACTATTGTAATACGATTTAATGAGATACACACAGACTGGCCGAAAAACTTGGTCACGTCCACATAGATTGGCGAAGATACTCAAAACGTATTTGTTGTATGGTAAAAACTCCATGTTCTCCATGAACCTCGTGAATGCATGCTGAGGATCGCTTAAATAGGGCGATAATTTATGAACCAATTTATATTCCATATTGGACATCCATGCCACGGGAGCCATCAAGTGCGCTGTCTTGATCTTCGCATTGTATTCGGGACGCATAGACATCAATGCAAAAAACACTGTTGTACCCTGAGAGTGACCTACATAGTGGATGGCCTTGTGTCCCTGACCGTTGATCTCTAAGGAGTAGTCGATCGTGGCCGCAATGTCATAGTACCCAATTTCGTGCCAACTAAATTTCCAGAAGTGCGGGTTTTCTGTGGACAATGAAACATGTCTTCTTGAGTACGTATTCCCTCGACTATTGCCGACCCACACGTCGAAACCGGAGTCAACCAAGAGGTAAGGCAAAGCATGATTTGGGCCAGTAAAAAACCAAACATCAGAGCCGCCCATTAGGCCGTGCTCAATGATCACAATCGGACGGGTCTTTCCCTGGTTGTTTAGTTTGTGAGAATAGGGTATGCGAAACACGCCCAAAACATAGCCATCCTCGGTGACAATGTGGTGGTGCTCTACCGGATAGCCGTGACTAGATATGAGATCCTTCTATTTAATATGTCGTTAGGAACTGGAATATGGATGCTTAAGGACAAGCACATACCGTCGTGGAAGCCTCGTCTGCACCAGTCATAAACTCTGCTGTTTTATACAAAGTTTCGTAAAGGGCATGAGTTGCAGGGATATAAAGAGCAGCACTGTTTGAGCCAACAACTGATGCAGCCAATAAAATTACCGCCGAGATGAAGTAGTCATGCATTATGTAACGCGTCAACTACATCTGTGGTTAGCCAATCATTGGACGTCCAACTCTGTTTGATTGGCTCTGCTAAATTTATCATCAAGGGATCTTCGATGACCCGGAAAATCTGTATATGAAAGTGATCAATAAATAAATTATGAAACGGTTCCCTTTACCTCGGGAACATGTTACAGTAAAAGGTAAATTTAATAGGAGGAAATAAAATTTAGATTTAAATTATAAATAAATATTAAATAATGCCATTATTGCCCTAGATACAGGTCCATTTTTATTGAAAATTCTACACCCATTTCCTTAATTCATAATTTTTTAATTACACATTCGTAGTTGATACTTGCCCACATGACGATAGCCCATTAAGCATGGATTGCAACCTTGCACGAAATTTCGTTAAAAACAGCGTTAATTTTGTTAAACTTACAGCCAGAATGGCAATTCTAAAAAGCTCGATTTCTGACGTTTAAAGCGCTAGCTCCTCATGAGGATCTTATAAATTATTCAAAAAATTTTGAACACAAAAGAATTGAGTTGAGTTCTGTAATTAGGTGGCAAAAAGACCAAACTGTAGCATTTGAAACTAGAACTGAAAAACCATATTTGCATTGCCATTTGATTTGGTTTACTAAAACAGCAAATGTACATATTAAACAAAACAGAATAAACTAAAACTAAACTATGACTAATCCTCGCCAGGTGGCAACGGCTGGTTTAAGTCCCCTAAAACGGGCGCTGGCACTGGCTGAGGTGCGGGTACGGGCTGTGGTGCAGCAACTGGCACTGAAGTCAAAACGGGAACGGTAGAAATAATGTTCATCTCTGAGGAATCCACCAGCTCCTTCTTGATATTGTCAGGATTTATGTAACCACCGCTTTCGTCCTGCAAAATTAAAAAAAAAAAAAATAATAATAATAATCAAACACTTTAGAATATGATTAATAATAATAATTAATTAAACTAACCGTCACAAAAACATCAACCGATTTGCCGGTAATAATATCCAGTATCTGCTGAGTGATGCCGCTCATTGGCTCGTCTTGGATGCTCTCCGCGTATTCAAGCAATTGAGGTCTGAGGTCCGGGCACTGCTGCAGTGCGTCTGCCAATTGTGGTGGCGGGAGCTGAAGCAGTACGGGTAGAGACTGTGGCTTGAGGCGCTGCACAGTCTTAAGGAAGCCCTCCCAGATGACCTTTTGGCGCCACACTTGCTTCAGTATTAGGCGCTGCAGCAGATTCAGTACAAAGTTTGAGAGACGCGGCCACAGCGTCAGGCTCTGTATGGTGGTGCGCATCATGAGCGTAGGCACAGGCATTATCTCAACCAGTTGCTGCAGCACTGCCATCAACACTTCTTGGGTGTACACCTCACGCTCGGCTAGGCACAGTGAAGTGGCCTTCACTATTGACTTTAGATCCCACACATTAGTATCGATTGTGTGGAGAGCTACTAGCAAATCTGTCGGTGATATCGCCATCTGTTGATGAGCAAACTCGGCACCAATACCAAGCAAACGATTAAAGACCTCTTTGACAACAGCCTGATTGAGCTTTATTAGCTTGGGCAACACAGCGATCAGCTCAGAGCGCGATAAACCACTCAAAATGGGTATTAGCACACGCACGTCCTTGACTTTGTTTTGGTAGAGATCACGAACGCGCTGAACCAGGTCGGGATGTGGCGTGGGCACGCGTTCAGTCAAGATGTAAATAACGCGTATAACCAGCGTTTCTAAACCCTTCGGACAGTCTTCCAACAGCTTGAGCAACGCTGGAGACTCTACGCCCAGCTTCTTAATAGGGGCATCAAGGCTGCGTAGTATGGTCCGTTTTAGCTCTGCGGATGTCTCCATAAACACTTGACAAATCTTTTCCAGATAAACTGAAAAGGAATGAGTTACGATTTGTTGGACATGGTGCTCTCTTATAAAGCTTACCTTCCGGATTGTAGGGCAACAGTGTGAGGGCCAGGAGCAGGCACACCTTGGCAGTATCTTCTTTCCAAGCCACCTCCGGGGTCGGCCTGCCGTAATCTGCTGAAAATATGGCATTTGGTGGTGTTTCTGCAACCACAAATTCTAGCCACTCCAAAGCGAACTCATCAATGCGCGCTGGAACAATCTTGTGCACATGATAAATGGTAATCAAGTGGCCCAAAGCACGTTCCCGTAGATCGGCGCGCTCATGGACGGCATAATTGAGGAGTACGCGTACGAAACGATTTTTACGCGGAGGTCTTAAGACAGCAAGATCCTTGACTATCTCCAAGCCGTGCGGCATGAACTCTTCAAGCAGGCATAAGTTAACCAGCTGCACAATCGCCTCCTCGGGCAGTATGGGAGCCTCTAGAAAGAGACGACGTAGCAAAATGATTCTGTCCTTATATTCGCAACGCTCATTGATGCCACTAATAAGCTTATTCAATAGTTCATTGTAGGCATGATCTGGACTATTCTCTGTCTTCACATACGTATGACGCGTAAAGCCTTGCAGCAGAGAGTATTCCTCAAAAAGCCAAGAGAAGGCCAGATCTATGCGCTGCTTGATATCAGCTAGTATGAATTCCATGATGCTATAGCGCACATTATCGGGAAACGTGGCCGCAATAACTGTCACTAATTTACGTCGCTTGGCCGCCACGCCGCCCATAATGCACTGCCGCTCCGAGTTGAGGATTCGTATGATGGCATCTAAGAGAAACTTCTCTTTAGTGTTGCGTGGCAGGGGCTTGGTGATCTCCTGCAACTTGAGCGTCTTGGCGCGCTCTTTCATTCGCTCAATGACCGTCTGTTCGCCTTTGGAGCGTTCCATGGTCTCGCGTAGTTTCTTCGTCGCTTCTTCTTTGCGCTGCAGCTCCTGTTCACTTAGCTTGCCTTGTGCATCGTCCACATCCATGGCCAGAGGCTCTGCATCGGCAATGGCAATGCTAGACTGAGTCTTTGGCTTCATGGGCGGCTCCTTGCTGAATGCAGCCGAGCCGGGTCCCATGCGCATCTCCGTCAGCTGCTGACCAAACAGATGGGAAATGTTGCTTACTTGTTGCGGCAATGACAGCTGCTTGATAGGCGTGTACTCTGCCAAGAATTTTGGAGTTGCCGCATCCGGCAGAGCGGGTAAAAACTCAATAACCAAATTCACAACTGTTTCCGTGGAACGTAAGTGCTCTGCAAGAAATTTTTCGTTGACACGCGTACTCTTCTGACGCTGCCGCTCTAGCTCTTCCTCATCAAGCTCCATCTCTTGCGGCTGGTGCTGCTGTCGCTCCTGCTCGACCAGACGCGCTTTTTTAGCCAAACTCTGCGCCGCATTTTCTAGTATTCGCTTCTGCCTGCGCGCCATCTCTTGCTTATCCATTTTTGGCAGCAATTTTTGTATCTCACTCGCACTAGCTCCCAAATCCATTAATATATTACGTATTGTTCCGGCAAACTCGAATGAGCCGCGCAACTTGAGAAGCATTTGGAGCTGCAGGCGCAAACTCTTTCTAACCGAACTAACTTGAGAGTCGGTCAATGTGGGTGGCAAATTGTTGTTCAGCTGTCGAAACGCCTCAACAACAGAGCCCATAAAAATGGGCCGCATTTTGGCCACCGTGCATAGACTGCTCGTACAGGCAATCAGATTCACCGACGAGATGTGCGTAGTTCCATGGAACTGCAGCATAATGTCAAAGATATTAGTGCCTTCGTCTTGCAACTTTTGACGCCGGATAAGTTTGCAGTGTTCCGGCACATCGGCCAGCGAAAAGTCGCCCTCTCGCTTCATGCTGTCCTCGTCCGCATAACTTTGAAGTATGATGACGCCCTCTAGAAATTTGATGGCATTCGTGCGTATGCCGTCGTTTTCATTATCAATCATGTCCAGAATTTGAGCCTTTATCAAACTTAACACATTCCATGCTTGCTCAGCACTGTCGCTGGGATCAGTTAAGCTGCATAGATATTGCAGTCCGTTTTTATAGATGCTGCCACAAGCCTGAATAACACGTTTAATGACTTGAGCTGAACTATCTCGCAACATCATAGATATCACATTAATCACATAGGGTAGAAGCTCCACTTTAACCTTACTGAAAGCGAAAATGATTATACTTTGTGTAATTATATACATCAACAATATGTACCCACCATATCTGTTCAATAAAAGAGACCACTTGCTTGCGCACCTCTTGGTTTTGATCGTGTGCCAGTGAGAGCACCGGCTCCAAGAATTCCTCTGCCAGCTCTACACACGAACTAAGCACTATTTCCTGCACTTTAACCAGCAGCTCACATTTCAACGTAGCATTTGCTGTCACGAATTCATTGCACCATTCCACAACCTAAGAAGAAAAATAAGCAAAGTTTCAAATAACATGAGCGCATCAAATTCAACAAGAAAGCATCTACCAACCTTTGCACGCGCTGTTGCCGTTTTTTCATCTGTAAAAAGATTCGCAGTTTCTGAGACGAACTGGCTGCGTCCAATTATGCTATCCATGCTTAAAATTTATATTAAATAAAATATAGTGAATCTTTTACAATTTTCAAATGCCGCAAGTGCAAGCTGACAGAGCTCCCAGATTTCGATAGCGCTAGTGATGTGCTATTGCACTAGCGATTAATTTTCAAGTCAATGTCGTTATTTTCAGTTCACTCCATCTTGAAGAGCGAGAGCTGGAGAAATGTTAGGTTGCCTCTCACCCTTTTGAGAAACTGCATAGGTAAAGCCCAAAAACCATAACATTCAATATTTTTTGTAGTTATTAAAAGCTCAATGAAAACGATATTCTCTTGGCCTGCATCATGACTTGTGTGACGTCATATTCGTATTCTTAAAACGCTATCTTCTAAACAATATACTCGCTTTCAACATTGCATACAAAACATCGTAATAGCGATACATCGGCTAATAATTATCGATTGCATCGATGCATCGATTTACTCACATTTTTTGGGTGTTTTAAAAGCGTGAAAAAAACGCCTAAACAAGCCAAAACGACCGCACATCAGGACCAATAAGCGCAGTTAGTTAATTATTTTAGCTGCTGCACCAAAAGGCATTGACAGTCGAAGGCACAAACGGCGAGAAAAGAAGGTTCAGCAATACGGTGTGTTATTGAACAACGGCTGAAGAGTCATTGGTAGTGCAAGAGAAGGGTGGTAGCGGAGAGTACGTGCTTGTGTATGTGTGTGTGTGAGTGTGTGGGTAGAAGTTGCGGCTGTGGAGCAGCGGCGGCGGCAGCGGCGACGACAGCGGCAGGTTTAGTTGAGGCAGAGCAAATACAGAGCCACGATTTTAAGTAAATAGTGAGCTAAAATCTACAACAACAACAACAGCAGAAGCAACAGCAACGAGAGCATTAGTAGAAGCAACAGCAACAGCGGCTCAACTGCTTTTGTAAGCAACAACCGACGACCGCGCCCTAATGTCAAATAGCCAAGCAAATGCCGGCAGCAGCGGTAGCGTCGTGGATGAAACGAATCCAAATGCAATTAATCCCACACCGGGCACCACCACAATTGCCAGCAGCATCAATCTGACATCCGCATCGACAACGGCGGCTCAGAGCTCCACTGGACAGCCGGCGTCATCTGCTGCAGCTGGAGGTGGAGCCGCACCGCACATAGTGGGCGCCTCCAGCACAACAACAGCAACTGCATCAACAGCTGGGGATGGTGGTGTCAACAACTTGGCTGTGGACTCATCGCCTCGCGAGTCTGGCGATGACTCGGAGGATGAGAGCGAGATATTGGAGGAGTCACCATGTGGCCGGTGGCTAAAGCGACGCGAAGAGGTTGATCAGCGCGATGTACCAGGGATCGATTGTGTGCATCTGGCCATGGATACCGAGGAAGGTGTCGAGGTCGTTTGGAATGAGGTGCAATATGCGCAGCTGCAGGAGCTCAAAACGCAGGAGGACAAGATGCGTCAAGTCTTTGACAATCTGCTGCAGCTGGACCATCAGAATATTGTGAAATTCCATCGCTACTGGACGGACACGCTGAATGCGGAACGACCGCGCGTCATCTTCATCACGGAGTACATGTCGTCCGGCTCGTTGAAACAGTTCCTCAAGCGCACCAAGCGCAATGCCAAGCGATTGCCGCTTGAATCATGGCGCCGCTGGTGCACACAGATCCTGTCCGCACTCAGTTATTTGCATTCCTGCTCGCCGCCCATCATTCATGGCAATCTAACCTGTGATAGCATTTTCATACAGCACAATGGTCTGGTCAAAATCGGCTCGGTGGTACCAGATGCGGTCCATTACAGCGTGCGCCGTCAGCATCTTGACCAGTTGCCGGAACGGGAGCGCGAGCGTGGTGCCCACTACTTCCATGCACCCGAATATGGTGCCGCCGAGCAGCTGACCGCCGCCGTGGACATCTATGCTTTTGGTATGTGCGCCTTGGAAATGGCCGCGCTGGAGATACAGCCACAGTCTAGCAACAGCGAATCGACTGCCATCAACGAGGAGACCATACTGCGCACAATCAACAGCTTGGACAATGATCTGCAGCGTGATCTGATACTGAAGTGTCTCAATCCCAACCCACAAGATCGACCAAGTGCCAGCGATTTGCTATTTCATCCACTACTCTTTGAGGTGAGTGCATGAAAGAAATTTTAAAAGATATCAAATCACAAGAGTTCCCAGGTTCTTAAGTCTGTCATGAGTTCCTTACAGCATTGTATCCTTTATACCCTGTAATTATTCAATAATAAGTAGATTAGTGAAAAAAGAAACACCCAATCAACGCAATATTACAAACTAGATATCTTAGAGAATCTATTTTGACAACTATAAACTTCTTAGAGCATCGATCATTCATTATTGGGAATCTAGATAAAAGAGCAGTATGAGATCAAACGACCTAGGCTCGTGTCCAAGCCAATAAAAACTTAATCTATACAGAATATCTCGTCGACTAAAGTAGTCTTCCTAGTTCGAAATTCGTTAAACAATTTATTGTTATTTTTGTTTTGAACTAGTTTTCGTCAAATAGAACTGTATAAATTTGGGTTCTCCCAACAGGTGCATGCACTAAAACTTTTGGCCGCCCACTGTCTGGTCTTCTCGCCCGCCAATCGAACCATGTTCTCGGAAACAGCCTTCGACGGACTGATGCAGCGCTACAATCACCCGGACGTGATAATGGCACAACTGAAAAAGTCCGGCAATGAGGTTCAATTTCGACTGTCAGATGTGACCGGAGCTGACAAGCTGGAAAAGTTTGTCGAGGATGTTAAATATGGTGTCTATCCGCTGATCACGTACAGCGGCAAGAAGCCGCCACATTTTCGTTCGCGTGCCGCGTCCCCGGAACGTGCCGACTCAGTCAAGTCGGAGACGCCGGAGCCAGTGGATACCGAATCGCGCCGCATCGTGAACATGATGTGCAGCGTGAAGAAGCTGAAGGAGGATAGCAACGATATACTGATGACAATACTGTTGCGCATGGATGACAAAATGAATCGGCAGTTGACGTGTCAGGTGAACGAGGAGGATACGGCAGCGGATTTGACCAGCGAATTGGTGCGCCTGGGCTTTGTCCATCTAGACGATCAGGACAAGATTCAGGCCCTACTCGAGGAGACGCTGCGTGCAGGCGTCCTCAGTGATGGCGCCGGTGCGGAGAGCTCTGGCGCCGGTGTCACCACAACGGCGACGATGGCCGCCCTGGAGCAGCTGGAGCGGAACTGGTCCATTTCGGATGCGGACAAAACGATGACGTCCAGCATGTCCGTGAACACTTCACCCAGCGCGGCCGTCATGTACGTTCCACAGGAACCAGCTGATGTGGAGGGTGCGCCGATCCATAACAGCAGCAACAGTCACAGCAATTGAAGATGATGATGAAAGTATTCGGGCTAAGCCGGCGGGGTGCGCATTGTTTTTATTATTGGAATGAAATAATTACACACTACGATTTTATTGCTACTATTATTTTTGTTATTTTTATATATATGCATACACGTATGTATTTATATATATGCATCTATATATATGTATATCATCATGTATGTGTTTATGTATTTGCATATGTATATGTATTTAAACGATGTTGTACAAGGCTTCCAGGCAAGAGATTTCCGACGTGTACCCTACACCAACTCCACACATACACACATGAACGACTCACGTACACTCATACATACATAAGCAACTGCTTTAACTCGTAAGCCAGAGACGAGCTTATAAAATCAAAGCATTCGCTTAGCACGACTTTCGAAAATTCCGAATCGAATTCGGCATTCTCGAATATACCACTAGAAAATCTAATCTAAAACGAAATAAGAATAAAAGAAATATTAAACAAAAAAGTTAAAGACATTTGAAAGGCGGCAGCCCCATGGAAACCAAATGCAAACAAAAACAAATTCGACCTATTTCAAAAATAGCATTTAGGCAGTCAAAAAGCATATGTATATGATTTTTATTGATACATACATACATTTCTGATAGTTAACGAGCAAGATGATGAAAGAGCAAAAATGTCCCCAAAGGCAGTAAATGTATTTCAACGTATTACAAATATTAGAATACAAAAGAAAAGGCCACAAACAAAGCAAAACACTGACGGATCGTAGCGTAAAGCAGCCACAACTACAACAACAACAAATACACAACAGACATAGCGACACTATTATTAAATAAATAATTAATTAAATAAATAAAGAAAGCAAAAAACTGACAACAGAAATATTGATTGAGTGCTTTTGTACGTTTATTTTTACTGTTTTATCAAACCAGGTTGATAATCAATAGATCCAATTTTAGGCACACGGCATTTCGAGAAGTTCCGCTTCATTGGACTCCTTCTGTGGAGTGCTCAGCTTGATGCGCTTGCATTCCCGTCCCTCTTCGGGCTCATCGTCTGTAAAAGCTTCGGGCGCTTCGTCAGCTTCGCTCAGCTCCTGCGCTACGACTTGGCGGACCTCCAACTGTTTGTCATATAATTCCAACAACTTGTTGCCCTCGTATAAGACAAAGGGCAGGCTGGCTCGCTGATAGTAATCAGGCATCAGTTCCAAATTGTTGATGACAGTGTCCAGCATGTGCGACTTCTCGCACCAGATGCCTGGTGCATCGTTTCTAATCGGATTGATATGTACATGCAGATGGTAGAATGACGGTTGATAATGGAAGTACATTCGCAGCTGGTTGGGATTCAGGCCATAACGTTCAAGTATCGCCTGCTTGGCCGACTCTCGTAAATTGCGCAACAAGGGCAAGTGGCTCGCATTGAGATCACGCAACGATTTAATATCACGCTTGCGTACTATTCCCAGCAAATATAAGGTCTCCACGTTGCGTCCATCCCATTTGAGATCAGGAAGAAGGACAAAGCCATTCTCTGGATGCGTATCCTCGAATACAATACGCTCAGTTTCCTGTTTGTGCTCCAGAATATTGTACACCCAGTCCAACGAGAATTGGCTTGAGGTGATGTACGGCAACGTAATGGATTCGTAGAGATCTGGGGTTTCATTTATTATATACTTCTGGCATATGGAATATTTTTCAATATGTTTCTCAGTGGCTGGATAAATCACTGTACCCTTGACGGCTATTAAGAGAGTAAAGTTTTGGTTTTTGTTAGGCAAAATAATTGCAATTACTTACTACACAGCTCCTGGGTGGGCACACACTGAAAACTTGCGTAAATATTATTTATAAAATCGGTGCGGACTTGCAGATCCGTGCTAAAATAGCTCGGCTTGGGACTCGAGTCGGCCTCCTGATCTGCCGGCACTTCAGTTGCCACGTCGCTCTCACGATAAGCTGCATAAATAAACAGACATTTAGCATTTTTTAAAGACATACGTATTACTAACCATTTTTTTCGAAAACAACAATTGCAGCGTCAGTTTCTGATATGTCCGGGAAAGTGCCAAGTAATGTTATACTCTTGCATTTGCTATTGTTGCTGAGTATGCGTTTGAGGTGGAACTTAGTTAAATCATAAGTTGGCGACTTAATCTCACTGCTTACATTCAGTTTTGGACTTGATTCTACTTGTTCGGGCATTATTTTATGTTTATTTTCTTCGGGTTGTCTTGTTTCGGCGGCAATTTAGTTATTTAGTGTTGGCAAACAACAGATAAACGATATGTTTAATGATCCATTACCATTTGAGTATATATTATTGTGCTGAATCTTGTTATTAGCAATGTAGATGTTTTGCACTATAGGCCGTTTAGCCTACTTTTATAAGAAATTGTGAAAAATATCTTGACAAGTGACAAGTAATGTCGTAATAATACAATTACTATTTCTTTCTAAATTAGTTATGTTAACATAATTGCTCCACACACACACACATAGGTCAGCAATCGACAACGGTTCCTGTATACCAAAAATCTTTTCAACCTATCGACTTGTTCTGTTCGCTGTCGATAAGATTTCCACTCATCTCTGTCGCATCTAGCAGCCGACGCGCTTGCACAAAAAAAGAGAAGAGGAAAAGTAATTTCTTCACTTTTTGCTGGAAGTATTGTTGCAGAAAGTGTAAGGGCATATGCAATTGCTGTAAACGCACTTTAAGTGTTATTTAAAGTTTTGCATTGTTAAGCAGATTGTTTACTTGCGGCCCAAGATCGCAAAACCTGAAAACTTTTGCCGACTTTGCGCACACGCTTTTACCGCCGCCGCTTTGTTGTTTTGGCGCCTGAATTTTGCGACGCGCACAAAAATTTGCGTGAAATTATATTGTAGCTGCGTGCGTCAAAATGGTGGATCGCAGCGATAATGGTAATTATAAAATATGACAATTTAGTTTAAAATGATAATTAAAACTAACATTTTGGTTTATAAGCAGCGGAATCCTTTGACGATGCCGTCGAGGAACGTGTGATCAACGAAGAGTACAAGATATGGAAGAAGAACACTCCATTTCTATATGACTTGGTCATGACGCACGCTCTGGAATGGCCCTCGCTGACGGCCCAATGGCTGCCCGATGTGACCAAACAGGATGGCAAGGATTACTCTGTGCATCGCCTCATTTTGGGCACACACACTTCCGATGAACAGAACCATTTACTTATTGCCAGCGTCCAGCTGCCCAGTGAGGATGCCCAATTCGATGGCTCCCACTATGACAATGAGAAGGGAGAGTTTGGCGGCTTTGGTTCAGTGTGCGGGAAAATTGAAATTGAAATCAAAATCAATCACGAAGGCGAAGTGAACCGGGCACGCTACATGCCCCAAAATGCTTGCGTCATTGCAACGAAAACTCCATCGAGTGATGTTCTCGTATTTGACTACACAAAGCATCCAAGCAAACCTGAACCATCCGGCGAATGCCAGCCTGACCTACGTTTGCGTGGACATCAAAAGGAAGGCTACGGTCTTTCCTGGAATCCCAATTTGAATGGTAAGCACGAGATATTATATATACACCGATAAATTAAATAATAGGTAGACATCTTGTGCTTATGAGAAGTTTGCTTTAATATAATGCTATATATTTTTTTTGCTTTAGTTATATTCAATGCATATTGACTTATTTCGTGTTCTTTCATTAGGCTACTTGCTCTCGGCCTCTGATGATCATACCATCTGCTTGTGGGACATTAATGCCACACCCAAGGAGCATCGCGTCATTGATGCGAAAAATATATTCACTGGGCATACGGCCGTCGTTGAGGATGTCGCTTGGCATTTGCTGCACGAATCGCTCTTTGGCTCGGTGGCTGATGATCAGAAGCTGATGATTTGGGATACACGCAACAACAACACATCGAAGCCATCGCACACTGTAGATGCGCATACGGCTGAGGTGAATTGTTTAAGCTTTAATCCGTACTCCGAGTTCATATTGGCCACCGGCTCGGCGGACAAGACGGTCGCATTGTGGGACTTGCGTAACCTGAAGCTGAAACTACATTCCTTCGAGTCGCACAAGGATGAGATCTTCCAGGTGCAATGGTCGCCCCACAATGAGACTATTTTGGCCTCCTCAGGTACCGATCGACGCCTCCATGTGTGGGATCTGTCGAAAATTGGCGAGGAGCAGAGCTCTGAGGATGCCGAAGATGGGCCGCCGGAGCTGCTATTCATACACGGCGGCCACACGGCCAAAATCAGCGACTTTTCCTGGAATCCGAATGAGCCATGGATCATCTGCTCCGTGTCGGAGGATAATATCATGCAAGTGTGGCAAATGGCTGAGAATGTGTACAATGATGAGGAGCCCGAAATACCCGCCTCCGATCTGGAAACCAATACGGCTTAGGCCCGCTACAACTTCGGTTTTTGGCATGTTTCCCAACCTCCATTAAGAAAAATATGTGAAATTGTTTTCTTGGCTCTAAGCACGAAACCAGCTTACCTGGCGACGTGTACTCATTTTAATTTATATATTACATACTTTTACAATTAATTAAGTTCACATTTTGGCTACAAAACAAATCTTGCATTAAAACAATCTGAAGACCAACAAATCAATCGACTGTGTATTTAAACAGTTTGCCAAACGCCTCAATGTCTACGCGTAGAGCACGAGCATCTCCTTGGTGTCGCCTCGACATGATCTTTCCACTTATCACCTGATCCTTCTGCACCGCTTGTGGCTGGTCCATGAAGAAGACCGTCTGTTTCCAGTGTGTGGGCGTCGCAGCCGGCGAAGTGCTGAACATGATTTGCTTGTCCAGATCAAAGAATGTGTCAAAGTAACCCACAAAGGCAGCCAGCTTGCCCGTTTGGGTGCACTTTAAATGGAATTCATGCGAAAAATTCGAATAGTTCAGATCAACGGTCATCATATCAAAGCTGGCTATTTCTTGGCTGTCGGTTAATATGTGCTCTGGATTGACCACCTCAATCAGCGGCTCCTCTATGCTGCGCTTGCGCAGATCACTCATGTCCACTCCATAGACATCGGACCAGAACTCCACGTGCTGCTCATGCAGCATCTCATTTATTCCCACCAAATGGAGTGTGCAGCGATTGGGTAGAATTTTCCCATTGGGACTCAGATGATTTTCGCGTGCATAGATAATCGTGTCCAACATGGCCTCGTAGAGCAGGAAATAGCCCATCCATTCCGATATGATGACATCATATTTGGCCTCGGGCAGTTCAGTGTCTTCCAATCGACCCTTAATGAGCTGCACATTCTTAATATTATTTTTTCTGTTAGGGAGAGGGTATGTGTTAGTTTAATGAGTAAATGGGTAAATGGGTAAATTAGTTTCAAAATATTTTATAATCTATTAAATTTGATTTATAATCGTGAGATCAACAATGTTCTGTTATTTAATTACAATAAGAATATACGGGATTGATCGAAGAAAAGAAATTTAGTTATAATAATAAAAAAATGTTTTTTTTCGGTCATTTAATAGTTTTTAAACTTAAATTAATAAAAATGTTATTATTTCAATGTCTGGGGTTTCATTATCTAAGTCAGTAGGTCTAGTTTATTTTGATGTATTTCTAATTAGAATTGTTTTGGTCTATACTTGTCGTCTTTGAATTGATCTAATTGGATTTGTTTTCTGTTTTATAATTAGATTGAATACAGTCACGCAAATTCAAACAAACTAATTGTCATATTTATTTTGTTAGTCAAGGTTTTAAAAAGCTGATTGAATAAAAAAATTTATGAAGTCACCTTTTTAGAAAAAATATAATAATATACAGTCGACTCTCGTTATTTCGAAATTCAAGGGACTCTTAAAATATTTCGAACTGTCGAGTGTTTACGATATACCGCGTCTTAGCAATGATTTTTAGTTCGAATTATTGAGTGATAACTTTGAATTAATGAGAGGTTCGAAATAACGCAGGTTTGAAATAACAAGAGTCGACTGTATCTTCAAATCTATTTATAATCGAGTAAAAAATCTGCGTATTAACTGATTGAAATGCTTGACAATGCTTGGCTTACCTGACGATATCCATAGCAGTATAGACAATCTCTGAATTGTCAATGCCAACGACGTTTTTAGCGCCAGCTTGAGAAGCAAATATGGAGAGTATGCCCGTGCCACATCCCACATCCAAAACGGACTTTCCATTCAGAAATTTTTGGTTTTCCATTAGGGCAGAGCGGTAGCTGCTAGTGCGCACCTATTTAAAGGGACAATAAGTAATATAAATAATATTAATAATAATGATCATACAGAGTTAGTTAACTAATTGTAATACTCTACCGTATCGCTGAGCATTTCATGGTGTATGCCAAAGTGTGAATAGCTATTGAAATATTCTTTATCAAAGGACGGAGCATTACGCACAACTCCATTCTTGGTTGCTGCGGTATCCTTTCCCTCGCCGTGTACCTTCTGTAAAAGATCTCTGTAGTCGTTGCGCATGCGTTCCATATCCTCGCTGGCTTGTTGCAGCAATTGTCCTTGTTCGGCAATGCGTTGCAGCAACTCGGGTACACTCGCTACTGCCTGTGGAGCATCAGTTGTGATGGCATCGTAGTCGTAACATAGCCATGACTCGTACTGAATGGGCTTTAAATATTTCTCATCATTCCATTCGGGTTGCTTGGTCTGGAGCAACTGCTCAGCAGTTATTCGACCTCCACGTATGTAATTTATTAACTTAATGAATGCATACTGATCCATTTGGAATTTCTGCTTAAGCTGCGCCAAATTCACTTTATGCTGGCTTTTTAAATGCTCGATCGCCGGATCGATACTGGTAAAAACTTGAGTGCAAAATAAACAAGTTGTTGGCTCTTCTTCGTCGTCTTCTTCAATTTCTTCATTATCATCGATGTCCTCGAATGCATCCTCATCAGAACTGGACTCATTAGCTATTATTAAAAATCATATTGTAAATATATTCATGATATATTTGTATATAAATGTACCTTTATTTTCTGTATTATCCATATTAATAAATAGCAACCAATTTATCAATAACACCAAATAGTTTGAAGGCGCTCTTAGACAGCAGCACGTGCGGAAAGGAACAGTGCTTCCACACCCCGGCAAATGTTATTAAACTATCGATAAATAATTTACTTTTCGCATCCCTGCACTTGCATAACTCTGTTTTAGTGGCAATAACAACATGCTTCAGGTGCGTATCTCGAATTATTTTTATTTATTAAAACTTACATTTTATTTTGAACTGTTACTATTTAGGTATTAAAGAGTTTGCGTTTGACACAGCCTACGCGCTTTGCCTCTTCTCTAAGCAGCACAGCAACAAATATACCGTCCGGCTCTGCTGATGTTTCTGCTGTGGATTCAGGCGAACCCGATAAGCTTTACAGCAAATTAGAAATTGAACTGCGAGGAATTGATCCGGCTGTTCTGAAAAGCTATACCTGGTTTGCCACAACCGCTGCGGAGCATTTGGGCATTGAGTTGGGCAAATGGTAAGTGCCGCCTTAAGATAAATGTGTGTCTATTTTCTTGCGCTGCTTGTACGAACTATAAATGTGCACATGTTCTGACCTTAATGCTTTGTATTGTACATTGACAGTTGGAGCCCCCGCAAGGCACACCATGAACGAATGACTCTACTGAAGTCCGTACACATTTATAAGAAGCATCGCGTTCAATACGAGATTCGAACTCATTTCCGTTATATGAATTTCCACAAGTTAACGGGCTCGACGCTGGACACGTTCCTGGAGTACATCGAGCGCAATTTGCCCGAGGGCGTGGCGCTCCAAGCAGCCAAGACGGAGCTGCAGCAGCTGCCCGCTCATTTGCAACAGCCGCCAGAACAAGTTTAGCATTAGCATAAATATTTACTGAAATTAGTTTTAAGTGTTGCAACTCTTACGTATTTGATAAAAGTCATTGAAGCGATTAACCGAACAGAAGCGTGGAGATTATTGTTCAATGGTTAAATATAAATAAAGTGTCGTTTTAATCAAAAATTGATAAGCATAGAATTGATGTTGGATTTACACGTTTCAGCCCCCACCAGGTTTTTGGCGATAAGCTTTTGGTCTTAATATCAAAATAACAAATATTTTGTATAGAGAGAGTATACCTCAAAGACAAGAGTATACCTTATAAATAATAATTAAAAACAAAAAAAAATGTGAATACAAATCGAAATATATTCATCAATGAAATGCCATGCATAGATTCTATTCCTGAATGATAGCATCATAGACTTTTAGCTCTTAAGAATATTTGATATGATATAGTAAATCTAATCGAACGTATAACTTTAAATGAATAATAGTCCAGAATATCTCTTATACACTAGTCAATATAAAATAGAGCGTATTTTTTGTTATTTGCCAAAAAGTGATAAGGATAGGGAGTATCACGAATTTGTATTAATCGTATTTTGACATTCATAACGGGAACTGGAAATGGTAGCACTTGACAAAAACCAAATACTTTTGGCTAAGCACTTCAGTTGCGTGCGTTAGCCCTAAGCAAACGAATATTCACTATGCAGTCGGGTCACATATTGCGGCTGCTTTTAGCCACGGCTTCTCTTTATTGCTGCCTTTCGCCTGTTGTGTGCATCTATGAGGCTGCAATACTGGAATTTCTAGAGGAGTTTCGTATGCGCATGTGTCACCCGATACCCAATTTGGGCTTGCCTGCATTGGATCCACTGGAACTAGGTCCTGCCGAGACAGCTGCGAATAACCAATACCTTATCGAGTGGGTGCCACCTAATTTGTATTATATAATATATATATACTGATATTTATTTGCTTTCAGCTTTACTGGTTCCATCGAGGACTTTCAACTAAAAGGACTTTCAGATTTTGTTGTAGATACACTTAAAATTAATGTTGTGCCTGGCTTACGTAGCACAATTAAAATCACCTTACCACATACCTTTTTCAAGTCACTTTACACTGCCAAAGGTTCCTTGGCGTATATTGTTAATTTGGCTGGCGATGGCAATGCTGAGTAAGTAATGCGAAGAAGATTATAGATAAAGATTTTTTGTTAAATCTACTCTTCTTCCACGTCCAGAGCATCAGTGAAAGACTTTTCGCTTCAAATTTCATGGAAAATGAAACTGTCGTCTTCTTTGTCCATCACAGATTTGCAAATAGAACTTCTTTTAGGAGATTTAAAAGTTCATTTTGAAAATTTAATGGAGGAAGAGCGGATTGACATTTTCCTGCATGATCTAATTAACGAAATGGGTGTTGAGTTATTGGATGATGTATGGAAATATGAGCAGCCTAAGGTTGTTCCAAAAATCGAAGCGGTGGGTTTTATATATGTATATTCAAATCATAATTAAATTAATAATTCACATCCCTTACAGATTATCAATAATAAACTGCCGGAAATTCTACAGGGTATTATTGGAGGAGGTGGCGGAGAAAAACCACCTATTTTTGAAGGCGTCGAACCAGATTGTAAATCTCCTGCTCTAAATAAGGTCAATTAATATGCATAATGAATTTAGCAATAAAATATATATATAAAAGCATTTCAAAGGTGTTCCACTCTGTTCATTGGTTATAAATCGCTTGTCGCATTTGTATTTGCAGATCGTTGCGATAAGTTGTGCGATAAAAGGTATATATTTAAAACATATGCACTAATCTATTGATAAAGAGCACAAACATCAATAGAAAAGCCCATTTACTATTCTAATCCTGTCATTATCAACCAAATATTGCTGATAAGCTGAATGCCATTAGCTACTTGACAACTTCGATGTGGGGTCTTGATATCACCACTTATTGGTTTATAACTGCGAGGTCTCATAAACTTATTTTTGAATTGTTTAAAGTTTGGCGCGCTTGTTATCGGCTGAGCAGAGTCAACATAGTAAGCAGGGCTGCAGCATTGGATATTTTCGATTAATACTGAGCGTCATTAGAGCAGCACTGTTTTCAGCTGCCTTGCCACATCGTGAAAGTTAATATATTAGAATTTTCCAGAGCAGGGCAAGGCGCTTTATAAGTAAAGGCAAAGCCGTACGCCATCATTATTCCTAAAACAAGCGCCAGTTTGATCGAACGTTTGAGTGTCGGCTCGGCAGAAAGAAATTTAAGTGGGACAAAGTGAAGTAGCAATTACACGGTTATTCATATATTTAGTACATTTCAACTGAACAGAACATAAAGGTAAGTCTTATAATTAGAATTTAACAATTTTCATAAGCATTCATGTGTTAAAGTGCACTCTAAATTCGGCACGTGCTTATTGCCGCGTGTGTTTGACCTGAAAAAAATTTCCATTGTCTTCCATGTGCTTTACAACTAAAATCAATAATTTGATGTTAGGTGCATTGGTGCAAGTAGTTTGGGGTCATTTTAAATACACCTTTATCATTGGACTGTATAAAAAAATGATGGCTGCATTTGGCTGAACTTTAAAATGCGAGCAAAAATACTTGAACATGTAATATATTCGTGTATTTACTTGCATATGTATGCATATATTGCGTCATTCGATTTTTCTGCTGTATTTGGGCCTTCCAATGATTGCTGGTTACATTGCAAATTATGTATACATCAATATTTAATGATTCTCGAAATTGGCTGATTTATCTAAAATTGCTGGAATATTCCATTGAAAAAATTGCCGCATCACACACACACAAATTTTCCATTCGCCTGCCTACTCATTATGAGTCATAACAGCATTCAGCTATTGACGTCAAAATTTATAATTTATAATTTAAAAATATTTCGTTAAAAATAAAGAATCATTAATGGCAAGTGTTTGGATTTTAGCTATTTCTATTTTCTATATTGAAAAGTGCGTTGCTAACCGGCATTTTAAACTATACCTTTGTATGCGTTGTTGGAATAAAACATGTCCAAACGTATATATGAAAATTTAGCGCGCGCGTGCTTGTATACTATTGCCGTCTCGTTCATGCGCACAGTACAAGGTGCAAACTTATCAGTCTGGCAACGGCGTGGTTCTCAATACATATACATGTAGATACATGCATATGCTTACGCGAATGTGTATGTGTGCTTGTGGTTTATAGTATTCCAGAATTTTCGCCTTTGTGTCCATGCGGTATTTCCATCCCTCAATGAAATTTAGCAGCTGCAATTGCAGCTGAACTTCAACTCTATTGTTATCTTTGTGTTTATGTTGCAGGAATATTTATACATAGTAAATTGTACATACATACACATGGATATACATACGTGTCTTGGCCATATAAATTAGTCATTTACCTCACGTTTCACCGTTTTTGGTTTTCGCTATGACATTAGCAACAACCTGTTTCTGAAAATGATCAGAACATTAACTTTTATTTCATTGGGATTTCATGGACAGGGCTGTAGCCTTTGCTTTCAAATACTAAGTATTAATTAGCTTGTTAATGAAGATTAAGATTTAAACGAATATATGTATGTCCACTAAATTCGACAATTATTGATAACCATCATCCAAAATGTAAATAAAAGATATATGTATGACTCTAGACTTTAGTCCTCAAACGAATCGATTTATTTCTACAATACAATACAAACACGTCAGTGAAATGTCGCTAGTGAAAGTAAAATCGATCGTTGACACTGCTTTCAATTTCAAACTTACACAAAATAGAGAAGATATACAATATATACTTTCATAAACTTTTCTAAAATTTAGACATTTTTTTTATTTATTACAGATGTCTAAGGCTCCAGCTGTTGGTATTGATTTGGGCACAACCTACTCTTGCGTGGGTGTGTTCCAGCATGGCAAGGTTGAGATCATTGCCAACGATCAGGGTAATCGTACCACCCCATCTTATGTTGCCTTCACGGAGACGGAGCGTTTGATTGGTGACGCCGCCAAGAACCAGGTGGCCATGAACCCAACCCAAACTATCTTCGATGCTAAGCGTCTGATTGGTCGCAAATTCGATGATGCGGCCGTMCAGTCTGATATGAAGCACTGGCCTTTCGAGGTCGTTAACGTTGATGGCAAGCCCAAGATCGAGGTTACGTACAAGGATGAGAAGAAGACTTTCTTCCCCGAGGAGATCTCCTCCATGGTGTTGACCAAGATGAAGGAGACCGCCGAGGCGTACCTGGGCAAGACGGTTACCAATGCCGTCATTACTGTGCCCGCCTATTTCAACGATTCACAGCGTCAGGCTACCAAGGATGCTGGCACCATCGCCGGTTTGAACGTATTGCGTATTATCAATGAGCCGACTGCTGCGGCCATCGCTTATGGCCTGGACAAGAAGGCTGTTGGTGAACGTAATGTGTTGATTTTCGATTTGGGCGGTGGTACTTTTGATGTCTCCATTCTGTCGATTGATGACGGCATCTTCGAGGTCAAATCTACTGCTGGTGACACCCATTTGGGTGGTGAGGATTTCGACAATCGTCTAGTCACTCACTTTGTGCAGGAGTTCAAGCGCAAGCACAAGAAGGATCTGACTACCAACAAGCGTGCTCTGCGTCGTCTACGCACTGCCTGTGAGCGTGCAAAGCGTACTCTTTCCTCATCTACCCAGGCGAGCATTGAGATCGATTCGCTGTTCGAGGGTACCGACTTCTACACCTCGATTACGCGCGCTCGTTTTGAAGAGCTGAACGCTGATCTGTTCCGCAGCACCATGGACCCCGTGGAGAAGGCATTGCGTGATGCTAAATTGGACAAGTCGGCCATTCACGATATTGTGTTGGTCGGTGGCTCCACCCGTATCCCCAAGGTGCAGCGCCTATTGCAGGATCTGTTCAACGGCAAGGAGCTGAACAAGTCCATCAACCCCGATGAGGCTGTTGCCTATGGTGCTGCCGTCCAGGCTGCTATCTTGCACGGCGACAAGTCGCAGGAAGTGCAGGATCTGTTGCTGCTCGATGTCACCCCCCTGTCGCTGGGTATCGAGACCGCTGGCGGCGTGATGAGCGTGTTGATCAAGCGCAACACCACCATCCCCACAAAGCAGACCCAGACCTTCACCACCTACTCGGACAACCAGCCCGGTGTGTTGATCCAAGTCTACGAAGGTGAGCGTGCCATGACTAAGGACAATAATCTGTTGGGCAAGTTCGAGTTGTCGGGCATTCCACCCGCACCACGCGGTGTCCCTCAGATTGAGGTGACCTTCGACATTGATGCCAACGGTATTCTGAATGTCACCGCTCTGGAGCGTTCGACCAACAAGGAGAACAAGATCACGATCACCAACGACAAGGGTCGTCTGTCCAAGGAAGATATTGAGCGCATGGTCAACGAGGCCGAGAAGTACCGTAACGAGGACGAGAAGCAGAAGGAGACCATCTCTGCCAAGAACGGTCTGGAGTCGTACTGCTTCAACATGAAGGCCACACTGGATGAGGAGAATCTGAAGAGCAAGATTTCCGACTCGGATCGCACCACCATCTTGGATAAGTGCAACGAGACCATCAAGTGGCTGGATGCCAATCAGCTGGCCGACAAGGAGGAATACGAGCACCGCCAGAAGGAGTTGGAGGGCGTTTGCAACCCAATCATCACTAAGCTGTACCAGAGCGCTGGTGGTGCTCCTGGTGGCATGCCCGGTATGCCTGGTGGTATGCCCGGAGCTGGCGCTGCTCCTGGCGCTGCTGGAGCTGGCGGTGCTGGCCCAACCATCGAAGAGGTCGATTAAACAATTCACCAACCACAAACCCAAACCAAACAATAAATCAATTTATACGTTTTACACAACTTGGATTCTAAATTAGAAAACACACAACCACAAGAACAAACGACAATTGCTCTTGATAACTATATTATAATAATACAACTGCAACATCTAAAATATAAAACAAGAAAAAGCCCAAACACCACATAGGATAATACATATATATTATATTATTATCATCATGCATCGATCGATCATCCAAATAATATTTGCTTCTACTTGAATAAAATAAATCAAATTTGAGATTTGCAAAAGAAAAAAAACACGAGTTATTGGTTGGCAGGGGGTGGTAATTTTTGACATGGACTACGTATTAACAAAATCAAACTCTTGGAGGCCAAAAGACGTTTTAAAATTGTTATAATATATAATTGGGGCATCGTATATGATATAACAAATAGGCCACGGAAGCTTTGGGCGTGGCATACCTCTTCGGGTTTATTTTTACTGGATTTTATTTATTTAAGATACGAGCTTCTTGCTCTGAAAGAGCACTCTTCTCAATGTTAGAACGAGTACAAAGATTAACTGTGAGAAAAAAAAAAAAAAAAAACATTTAAGGGCGTGGCTTCAAATTGAATAACTTTTTCTGTATCAAAGGGACGAGAGGCTTATCATTTTTACTGTTAAATACTGAGCCCATTGCTTAATTGTGTTTCATGCGATCGTTCGTCTGCAAGTGGTGAGCACCACGATTGAGTGATTCCGAAGGTCACTTAACAGTGCTCTTTACATAACTTACTGAGACTTTTAACAGCGAGGGATGGGCTGAGCTGTACCAGCACATAGCTCTTCTGCTAACGAAACAGGCGGCTATAAAAAGCTCTTGAGCTGTTGCTCTATTTTGTTTAACAGAGTTCAGTTAATAGCAAATTGCAGCGTAAGCTCTTTGAGTGTCATGGTCTATACCTGCGGCTGGTTGGTGGCAGTGCACGATTTAGTAATAATAATAGTGAGTCTTTTGAGTGTAGACTTGATAATAATTATATCATTTAATGAGAACAAATTAAAAAAGCATAATAATAACTTTCTGTATGAATGAAGTTTTGATGAAGTGGAATTTATCATATTCACTTGACCCTCTGTCTCCCTCCTGTCTCTCCTATGTAATTTATATATCTTTAATCGATCATAAAATAATTGATATATTTAATTTGTATATTTAGAGCTTTTCAACGGATCTTAGTTATTAAATAATTTTACTTTTTTGTGGTTGACATAATATATATGTAATTTTCCGCACAGTTGTAATAATCCCAACAATATTTTATATATAATAAACGGTGTTCAAAGAGAGAACAATCATTTGAGTGCCTAATCGACCCAGGCAAAGTTGCCATCCTTGTCCAGCTTTGGGACTCGGCTTATCACCGGCAGCTCACTGTTGTTGGGTTTATAGGTGCCCTGGTCCTGGTTCCAGTTGTTCTCCTTAATCTGGACCGACCTCACTCTGCGCCCAAATACGTTGCTCGGCTGCTGATGCTCATTTATGCTGGGCTTCAAGCTGAGAGTTATGTCCGTTTCCAGTTGGTGCTTCTCAAGAGTTTTCTGGGGAGTGCCCACCTTGTGCGCCTTGCCACTCACCTGGTCTAGGTAGGATTGCCACTGTTGCAGCTTGTCCTCGGCAGCGCGCAGCTGCTCGATGCTGCGCTCGTGGCCAGGATTGATCCCAATTGGTTGAATGCCAACAATCTCATTCAGGTCGATCTTGATGGGAGCAAGAGCGGAAATAGCGCGCGATAGTCCGATTTGCGTGTGACGAATACGATGCTCCGTGAGATCGGCGCCCAGCAGCTCCTCGTGCGGGTCCATTCGTATGGGGATTACTTTGTTGATCACATAAAGCAGCAAAAAGGTCGAGCAAATGCCCCAGCAAGCCAAGCAAAGAGCGGACAGCATTTGGATGCCGAGCAGGTACCAGCCACCACCCTTGAACAGGCCACTGCGACCCTTAGTCGTGTCCATGGGCAGTGGATTGTCGGCGAACAGCCCGACAGCGATGACACCCCAAATACCACAGACCCCGTGCACCGAGCTCGCACCCACCGGATCATCCACGCCCAGTCGATCAAACAGCGGCATGCTGATCACACATAGGAGGGAGCCCAATGCTCCAATGAGCAGCGCCTCCCATGCGCGATACAGAAAGCAGCCAGCTGTGATGGATACCAGGGAGCCCAGAATGCCGTTGATCAGATCCATGATATCCAAGCGGCCATCGTGACGCCAGAACGAATAGCTGCAAATGGAAGGTGATTGATAGATTTCTTCAATGGTCTTTGTAGTGGATCTGCACTTACAGCGAACACACAAATCCCCCGCCAAAGGAACCCATCATGGTCATCACAGCGGCACGCGCGGCATACTGCCATTTGGCACCGCTGACACCATAGGTGCTGCCCGAGTTGAAGGCCAGCCAGCCCCACCAGAGCACGAAGAGACCCATGCACGCATTCACCGGATTGCCCAGTGGCAGTGGATCAATGCCCTCCGCATAGCGGCCCAGACGTGGCCCCAGCATGGCAGCCGAAGCAAACGATGCGGCGCCTCCAATCAGATGCACTGGACCGCTGCCCGCAATGTCCACGGCGCCCAGATTGTTGAGGAATCCATGTTCGCCCCACACCCAGCCCGCGGGTATGCAATACACCACGGTGTTTAGGAACGAGAACACACAGTAGGCTTTAAAATTGCAGCTGTAAAGAGCAAGGAATATCATATAAAAACATACCATATCATATCGCATCATATCCTCCTGTATCTTATCTATCTTATATATACAGTAGAATCCGGTTATAGCGACACTCAAGGGACCGTCGATTTTACGTTGCTATACCCGGAGGACGCTTTAACCAGAAAGAGAAAACAAGTTAGTTTTTTCATTCATCGACATGAGCGGATTGTCGTTAAAAGCGGAGACGTACTAAGCGGAGGCTCTTTCATATAAGTTTGTATGGGGGCCAACCAAGACAACGAATTTTCGTCGACATAACCGGTTTGACGCTTTAAGCGGAGTCGTTATAACCGGATTCTACTGTATTTTATGTCATATCAAATTATATGATATTCTAAAAACTAAAACTTTATAATATGCTACGATTATCAAATCTGGTAATATCAAATCCTCCCAATATATATGTATGTCATCCCAATACTAGATAGTCTAGAAAATTTTATGTTCTTTTAAGTACCAGGTAGAAGCATATAAAATAGTTTACGCAAATAAAAAAATACTAATTAAATATATGAAAAAATTGTGAAATGCTTTTAGCATTCGGTTTCTTACCGCTCGGCCATGGCGCCACTTACAATGGTTGTTGCTGTTGTGGCAAACGACAACTGAAAGAGGAAGGCGGCAAAGATCTGACCCATCAGCTCGTCGCCAACGGGCGGGTCGAGCAGGAAGTCGCCGATGGCCATGAAGGGATTCGAGAAGGGTCCACGTCCGAAGCTCATGCCGTAGCCAAAAAGCCAGTAGGTGAAGCCGCCCAGGACAATGTCAATCACGTTCTTCATCATGATATTTACCTCGTTCTTGATGGAAACACAGCCCGACTCGAGCATCCCAAAGCCCGTTTGCATGGTAAAGATAATGAAGGATGAGGTCAGCACCCAATTGGTATCCTCGATCGAAAGATCATAGAGACCCGGTATCACATAGCTGCTATTCCGAATCACGCCCTTCAGCGCTATCATCTGCGACGCTGTCGCATTCTCCAACTTCATTTTATTTCTCTCGTCGTATTTTATTCCAGTCGCTCGCGTCCGGTGTTCAGGGGAGTTGCTCTAGAAGTGAACCAATCAAAGTTGTTTTCATTTTCAATGCGAAAGTCAACAAATTACATTCATTTGATTTGAATGCAAGCTAATCGTAGCGCCCACCCAAAAAGCTAAATTATTTAGCTTAATTTTGCGTGCGTGTTATTTTCGAATGAACGAGCTAATTATACCCTGTACTAAATTTAAATTGGGTATTTGCGACTTGTACACATATCTATTTGAAGACAAATAATATCTACATATGTATGCATGTACATCAGAGTAATATATACTTATATAATATATCTGCGATTCATTGCAGAACATTTGTTTCCTTACATAAGAGGTATATTATAATATAAAAAAT